TGCTTTAATGCACCCTGTCACATGGAAGGGTGTCATTAGAGGTGGGCCTGTGCCAACCACATGAAATTCAACAAGGCCAAGTGCAAGGTCCTGCTCCTGGATCAGGGCAATCCCAAGCACAAAGACAGGCTGAGCAGAGAAAGGATTGAGAGCAGCCCTGAAGAGAAGGACTTGAATCAACAATCTGTGCTTGCAGCCCAGACAGCCAATCGTATCCAGAGCTGCCTCAAAAGCAGCGTGGCCAGCAGGTTGAGGGATGTGATTCTCCTCCTCCACTCAGCTCTGGTGAGATCACACCTACAGTAAGGTGTCCACCTTTGGTGCCCCAAACATAAGAAGGATGTAGACCTGTTGAAGCAATACCAAAGGAGGGCCATGATAATGATCGTATGACTGGAGCACCCCTCCTTATGATAACAGGCTGAGAGAGTTGGGATCATTCAGCCTGGAGAAGAGAAAGCTCCAGGAAGACCTTATAGCACCTTCCCGAACCAAAAGAGGGCCTGTAAGAAAGACAGAGAGAGACTTTTTATAAGGGCATATATGATAAGACAAGGGGGAAGGGCTTTAAACTGAGAGTAGGTTTAGACTAGATATTAGGAAGAAAATCTTTACTATGAGGGTGGTGAGGCCCTGGAACAGGTTGCCCAGAGAAGCTGTGGATGCCCCATCCCCAAAGGTGTTCAAGGCCAGGTTGGATGGGGCTTTGAGTAATCTGGTCCAGTGGAAGGTGTTCCTGTCCATGGCAGGGGGGTTTGAACTAGATCGTCTTTGAGGTCCCTTTCCAAACCCAAACCATTCCATGATTCTATTTGGTGCAACACATATGCATAGATGAGTAAGTTTAGATGCTCTGATGGCCTTTCAGTTAGTATTTCCCAGGGATTTTTTTTGAATTTACAAGAAATCTTGGTTTTCAAGAGAGAGGGGCTAATAGCCCTTCCTGAGCCTGGTGCAGGAACAAATCACATTACCCTTACTCATGGGAATAATCTAATTAAACACAACGGGAGTCCTCATATGGACATGGTAAAGCAAGCAGTATTTCAATGCTACAGTGGCAGACAAAAGAAAATTCTCTACTTCTTTCAAACGTGGTTCAGTCTGGATCTACAGCATTTCACTATTAAAAAATAATATTTTTTTTTCCCTAGGATTCAGTGTGAACATATGCCTGTACAGAGCAGTCCCTGTTCACCAAAATAGTTCCATGTTTTGTAGCCAAGAGTCTGTCTTCTAAAGCATGTTTTTCCATGCTTTCTTAGTTGAACGACTACATAATTTTTTACCCCCAAAAAATGAAGTAGTATTGCTAGAATTTATTTCAGAACTGAAATAAAAAATGAGCTAAAACTTTACACTATTTTTAGTTTTATTTTTCTTCCCTGTCTGTTTGTTTGCTGTAAACCTAGGAACATGGATACAGGGTTTTTTTTGTTTGTTTTGTTTTGTTTGTTTGTTTTGTTGTTGGTTTTGGTTTGGTTTTTTTTATATTATATTTGAGACCACCTTCTGGCATTTACAGAGAATGGATTCTGAGAAAATCTGAAGAATATCACAGAAAAAACTCCTGTCAACTACTACAGTTGACTGAAAAGTATGCTCTGGAAGCAAAGGGATTGCTTTCTCTCATTTCAGTGGGAAGCAAGTGTTACAAAAGGTACAGAAAGAGACAAGATCAGATCTTGTCCTCAGTCCTGCTTTTGTGAAGGATAAAGGAATGCATAGCATCCTTCTACACGTGGTGTCGGCCTGTGTCAGTGACTGATCTTGCATGCTGACCTGAAAATGGCTATAATTTTGCAAATACTGTGATTTGCTAATGTAGAACACCTTCCTGGACAGAGATCCAACTATCCATCTCATGAATGAAATTGTCACTGAGAAATTCACAGTCTTTGCAGTGAATATGTCAATATCAAGAAGAAGAGATAAACATTATTTTAAAAGGAAAGAAATGAATCATGTTCTGTAGCATTTCTTGTGTATGTACTCTTAATTTTCAGCCTGATGAGGTTAGAATGGCAGCAAACGAACACCAGAGCTGCAATTACTACAGGGCTGAGATTAATGTTTCAAATTTGTTGTTCTTTAAGAATGCCAGTGCTACAATAATGTTCACATGAGTTGATGAATGGCTCACCTCAATGAAAGTTTGCTTATCAAAAACAAACACTGTTGATTAGAGAAGACAGCTACTACTGAACAATGTTCTAGCTTATAAAAATAAAGAGAACATGATTTTGTAAAAATTTATTTGTAAAACCAAAAATTCGTTTAAGAACTAAAGGAACCTATTAAACACAATGTTGGGAATTCACCTTCTTTTAATTTTTTGTGTTTTTTTTTCCCCCACACTACATGTAATATATTATGTGATCTCAGCAGAGGAAATGTCAACCAGTTCAAACTGGAAATTATATAATAAAGGATTTCACTTACAACTTCTAATAAAACTCATGATTTCAACTTTATCAGAAATTCAGTGTGGAGGAATGCATGTATATGGAACAGCTGTAGTCAAGAATTACTGTAGCATTTGGGTACATGGGTAAACGACGGAGTCTTCCATGAATAGTAGTATGAAGTATGGGATGCACAAGGAAACATATCAAACTATATTTTGTTATGCTGTTTTTAGAGAAAGGAAGTTTATGCAGTTATGTGCTTCCAGTCCATCTGTTCCACCACAAAGATGAAGAAGTCACGGACAAATTTTAAGCAAATTTAACAATGGTTCTCAAAATTTCAAAGTTATTTTGGGATTGTTAAAAGTCAGTAAGTCAATAGAGATCCAAATTAATGTACCTACCAACAGAAAAGCAATTATAACTTAAATTCCTACCCATTTAACAGGCAGTAGCCATGTGACGAATCAGAACGAGAAATCTAGTCAACTTAGCAGCGAACATGAAGCTTTCAACCAACCACACTATTTGTAGCAACACATCTCACCATACAGATGTGGATGTGAGAATAGTAAAGAGGAGAAGTGTTGGGTGTTAGCTCCTAAAGATGCTACAATTTTTAGTTACTGTTACAGAGCTCTAGTCTTAGGTTTCAGTTTTGCAAAAGAGGTCATGTATTCTTGAAAACAGTTAAGTGAATGTGCATTCAGTTTTGGTAGTTCTGCAATAGGACTGGTGGGAATAGAACCTTTGTCACCTCCAAGAGTATACAAAATTCAAGTATACCTTTATTCTGAATCATACATGATTGCTTGTGTTTGGTGGCAAATTGTAAAGGAATTTACTTCCAAGAAAACTTTGTGCTTTCTTGCCTCTCATAACTGACCTTTTGGGTTTTCTTCCCATCTTTTGCAGCTTTCTAAAATAATGTTGGTTCCATGATTCACACCTAGCCACTGTTTTAGTCACGTCTATGCACCAGGGCAATGCATACCCACAAGCACCTATGGCCCTTGCCAACAAGCAAATGTAACATACTGTACCTACAAGCACATAGAGCAAATGCACCTTAGTACAGAGCTGAGGTATTTTCTTTCTTCTCTTAGGGGAGCTTAGAGCATCTGCTGTAATCCTGGAGGATGTACTGATTGAGTTCTGCTGATTCATTGTGTTTATGCAGTTTATTACTCAAAGCTGGATAGGAGAACCAGCAATCCAGACAAATTCCCAAATGTAGGGTTACAGAAGAGTCAGGATGAACCATATTCTGAGACCAGGGGACAAGATCTGTTGTAAAACTCAACTTTGTGATGACAGTCACTATGAAGCCAAGAACATATTTTTGAAAGGTATGGATTATCTCCAACACATGCAGAGCAAATATATACAACTTTATTCAAAAAACTATTAGAATAATTTGACCCTCCTCAAAATGTTGTAGGTACTTCTGTTTCTCTGGTACTAGAGAGGCTTTAAAAAGTGCCCATTGCCATGAACATCTCTGCAACCAAAGGGCTTGGTAAAACTGCTGTTGACTGGATGTTTCTGTATGTAATACCACCACTGAGCAAGAATGCAAGTATTAAGAACAACTCTGGAAATATATTTTTCCTTGAACAAGCAGGACACAAGCTCTCAGGATGGATGACCCCAAGGGTTTCACCCTGTCCCCCCCCATGCCTAATGGGAATCCAGCTCGGGAGCAAGCACTGCCCCTAACACCCTCACTCCAACCTGACCACTCTCTAAGCCTGGAGTTGCTAAGAAAACCCACTCAAAACGTCCCCCCTACCCAAACACTTCCACAGAATCACAGAATGGGTCAGGTCGGAAGGGACCACAGTAGTTCATCTGGTTCAACCTCCCCGCTCAAGCAGGGTCATCCTAGAGCACATGGCATAGGATTGCGTCCAGATGGTTCTTAAATATCTCCAGTGAGGGAGACTCCACAACCTCTTTGGGCAATCTGTTCCAGCGCGCGGTCACTTTTCTTACACGAGAGCCTGGGACCAGTGCGGAAAACGCACGATAGAGCCCACAGCAGCTGGAAAGCGCGGGGGCCGCCCGAGGAGCCCCGCGTGGCGCTGCTCAGCCGGCCGGAGGCAGCGTAGACCCCTCACCGGCAGGGTCTCGGAGGCGGTCAGGAGAGCGCACCTGCCCGTCCCCGCAGCCCCGGGGCGGTGCAGGGGGTACTGCCCGCCCCTCCCGCAGGGGGCGCGCTGGGGCTGCGGGGCGCGGCCGGCCACCACCCTGTCCCTTTGGGCGGTGTTGCGAGGTGCCCCTGGGGCGGGAGGGCAGCGGCCCGGGGCTCACCGGCGGGAGGCGGCTCCACGGCCCCCGCGCACCTGCTCACCTGTGCCCGGCCGGCTGGGGGGGCCCGGCACGGCCACACCCCCGACGGGCTCGGCGCAGGCGCCCTGGCGGCTACCGCAGGCAGGGGGCGGCAACATGGCGGAGTGAGCGGCGGCGGGCTCGGCTCCACAACAACAGCGGCAGCGCCGATCGCTTGAGCCGCCGTCCGCCCCGCGCGCCGCTCGGCCCCGCCGCGTCGCACCGCGCTCGGCGGCGCCCGCGCCCCCGGCCCCGCGGCGGGGAGGCGACCACGGCCGGGCAGCGCTCGGCTAACGGAGCATCGGCGCCCATAATAATCCCTCATTATAGCGGAGCGGGGGAGCGGCTCCTGGGACGGTGCCTGCGCCTCGGGCCGGCTCCCTGCGGCCCCGCCGGGTGCGACTGCGGTGGATGCGCGGCTCGGCCCGGCCGGGCGGGGAGGCGGCGGCGGCGGCGGCAGCGGCAGGTGCCGGTAACGGCGGGGGGTAAATGGCTAGCGAGAAGCCGGTGTCGGGGCCGGACCCGCAGCCCACGGGACTCATCTCCGTCGGGGCCGGTGGTGGAGGCGGCGGCGGAGGCGGTGGCGGCGGCAGCGGCGGCGCGGTGATGGGGGAGATGAGGGCGTCGGGCTCCGGGTCTGTGGTGCTCCCGGCGGGAATGATTAACCCGTCGGTGCCGATCCGCAATATCCGGATGAAATTCGCCGTCCTCATCGGACTCATCCAGGTCGGGGAGGTCAGCAACCGGGACATCGTGGAGACGGTGCTGAACCTGGTAAGCGGCCGGGCACCCCGCCCCGGTGACGCCCCGGCGGGCACCGGCCCGCGCAACCCATCTCCTCCCGGGGCTGCCCCCGCGCCCCTCCGCCCCTGTGCCACCCCAAAGGCACCGGCATCCTCCCAGCCCCCGTGTCCCTCCTACACGCACGGCCCTTCTCCAACCATCCTTCCTTCCCAAACTCCTCTTTTGCCTCTCTTTCTCCTCGTTAATCCCGCGATTTGCTCGTCGTGCGTGTGACAGAAGCCCCCTCAGCGCTCCCTAAACTCCACACAGGACCCTACCTAGTACAAACAGGCCACTCTTCCCCTTCCCAGTGCCTCGTCCCAGCCGCCTCCTGCAGAAGTGTAGTGTGTGCAATTCACATTGTAAAAAATAAGGAGATTAAGTAATTCGCAATTTCGTGTTATGGACGCTGCCCTTTAACCTAGTGGCTTCCTCGCGGGAAGAAGAGTGGCATGAACGTAGTATCTATTTTTAATTGGAAAACATTAAGAAAAACCAGCCTGAGCTGGTATCTTTTTTTTGGATGACTGAAACATGTGAAGGGTTTAACCCTGTTAGATCAGAGCTAGTTGAGCATTTTATGTAGAGGAAGGGGGAGGAGGGAGATTTTTGGGAGGATTTAGTACTCTTTAATATCTGTAATAAAGTGTTAGTTGTATTGCAGCATTGTATTAGGTTTTGCTCAGGTCTTAATCTGGCATGCTTTCCAAAACACATTCTTGTCAGCAAAGTAAGTGTTGTCACTACTTTTGTTCAAGGTCTTTGCATTGCAAAATAGTATTGTCCAGTGGTAAATAGCTGAAACAAGGAGAAGATGCTAAAATGTATCTCCTGAGTCATCTGCTCACTTCATGGAGTGAAAGAGTTACTGCAGGACTGTATGACTTAATGTTTTTGCGCTACCTACACCAAAGCCTGAGGAACCTACAGAAGCCAAGCGAGTGGATCTAAAAATGAATCACTTTCAATTATGTGCAATTTGGTGCTGTTCCTGAATGCAAAATTTGCTGCAGCAAAGCTTTTGAAGCAGTTCAGTCAATGAAATATCCTCAAATTTTGCATATAAAATAAGATAGAAAAATGACTGCTCAAAACTGAATGACAGTTAATTGAAACTGCCTTTGTTTCAAATGAGTTTAATGCTTCTAACCTCCAGTCATTTTATACAAAGTCATATAAAGAATATATTTTGTTTCAAACACTTTAAAAAGATGTATTCCTCTGTTTGACAGTTATTTGCATTTGACCTAGCACAGACTGAATGGAAAAGCTGCAGCATGCAGGGAAAGACATGATTTGGTCAGATCATTTTAATATTTATGGCTTATCTGAACACACAGGGTTAAAACCCTCTTAGTTTTGTGAATATGTCAAAACAGTAATCTGGTATATTTCCCACTCCTTCCTACAAGCTGTTTGACAGCTTGAAATGTGACTTGTAAATTTTAATTTTTTTTTTTTTTGTACAAGTGTGGTAGAAGTCATCATAACTTCATTGGATTATTACCCATTCCTTTAAAAGTAGCACTCAAAATAAGGAAATGACATGCAGTTATTTTCTTAACTGGCTTTATATAGATCATGACATACAAAGATGTTTAATCCCTTTCTGGTTTTCTTTCTTCCTTCATTCTTTTTACTGATATTTAAGCTTATTTTAATTCTGGCTGTTAGTGCATCAGCCACTGGACTAAGATTGACTTGTCTTTGGTGGGGAGGTTAGAATATGTTTTGATATTTGTGTGGAGGACATCCAGTGCTTGCATATAAGATCCACCTACTAGTTAGTTCCTGTTGTTGAAAACGATGTTTACATTTTATAATAAATGTAAGAGTATTTAACAGTTCTCTCAGCATCAGGAAATGTATATGAATGTGAAACTGCTTGTGAGTCTGCTGCAGCAGTGATGCATTCTGGATCAGTCATTACTTAACAGATGGACTCTAATATACAACAGTCAGTATTCCCAAAGCAGAGACAGGTTATATAGTGTCTACTAATTTTTTTGTTCTCAGGGCAGTGAATGTTTCAGACTTATGTTTGTGAATTTGAAACTTAATTTACTCGCATGTGAAACATAGTGAATATGGCAGATACAAAGTAAAGCTGATGGCATATCCCTAAACTACTAAACATCTGATTCTGTATTAAGGATTTGAATAGCAACTTTAAATAAAATGCAGTTTTCTGTTTTAGGAGCATTCTTCAGGGGTGAGTGAAGGTAGAGAAAACGATTTTTTTTTGGTATTTTTGTTGTATTGTTTTTCTTCAGTCTTTACTAATTCTGAATGACTTTTGATGCAAGTGTGATAATAAGTGAAGAGTGATAAAGAGTTGATCTCTGTTTTATATGTAAGTTGATATGTTAAGTCTCTGAGAGTAATATAACCACTATGCCATGTTGGGTAACTATAATCCATTTTGGTGATAGCTTTTTAGTATAGGAATTCTGCACAGCTGAGACTTTTATTATTGGAGAAAATCAGAAGTTAAAGATTGAGATACTTTTAAAATTTTCTTATCTGAGACTCCTGCTGACTTCTGTGTAAAGCTTAAATAAGTTTATTCATTCTTCCCGTATCTGCATAAAAGCAGCAGTAAATGTCTGAGACAAAACTTTGTTTGGGTGTGCCCTTGTCATGGAAATGGTCACTCCTCTTTCCTGTTAAGTTGCCGTTTTAGGGTTTCTCCTTGATCAGTTTTTATCTTGAAATGTTTGTTTTGGTGACCACACATTGAGGTCTCTATTTCTGCATTTCAGACTTACTTTGTGTGGTACCTTCTGATGTGGATGTACACAGTGGTTTATTGTATCTGTGAGGTGCTTTTTATGCAGTGCTGAAAATCTTTTTCTGGTCTAATATCTGGTTGGATTTTCAGTTTTGCCAAATTTTAACAGTGGACTTTCAGCTCAGACAGTATTTTGTTCTTGGGCATGCCTACATTGTTTATGGGATTAATTGCTTCTCTTGATGCTTTTCATAGTGTTTTCTCAAAACTTGCTGTGTTCAAAGTTCTCTTAGATTGGTGAAATTGTTTAATGGAGTATCACTTGGTAGAATATCTAGTATTGCTTGTGTTATTTTTCATTGTTTAACATTACAGTAAGAGACATCATGGAGAAAGGGTTTAGCCCCTTATATGCCGATGAATGACTTAGTTATCCTTAAAAAGACACCTGCTAGTGTTAGTACTATGAAGCTCAGATCTTAAGAATCTATGAGCTGAAGGCTTTTTTACAGTGACTCTTCAGAATATGGTATTCTTTTTACATTTCTGAAGGTAGGAGGGAGCACCTCATTGCATCTCATGCATTCTTCTGTGATAGTGTTTATTTTGATTTTGGTCCATGGGTTTAATATGAATTCCCAGGTTCAGCATGCTCTGTCTGAGATGTGTGTTCATTGACCCTTGTGTACTGCAAAGCATCAAACTAGAAAGGGCTTTTCTTAAAAAACCTTGTAATCCTTTTAATTGCTCTAAGTGATTTGTCTTTGGGGATATTTTGGCACCAGTTCTGTGCTTCTGTTGATGAGCAGGTCTCTCCCCTTTGAAGAGCTCCATTATTTTTCTTAGGGTACTGTCAAGGATGTTCTCATTGCATGGTAGATGTGCCTGTTTCTGCTAGACTGATGTTTAAAATAAAGTTCTGCACCATGTGCTCCAGCAATGTGATATTGAAGTGGAAGTGGGTCAGTCTGTCCACCTTTATTCCTCTACTTTAAGTCTACTTTTGTTTATCTTATTTCCTAGTGCACAGTTCCCACACATGGCTTTAATTAGTTTTCTGTAATATACTTTGACTGGTCTTTCCTTACATTAGTTTTACTGACTTGCTTTCTTAATTCTCTGCTTTTCCAGTATTTTAATGGTCTTGGGAATTTTTTCTTCAGTGTGTATTTTGAACTGACTCTTGCTTAGCCATTTTTCATCAAACATGAGTTGCATTGTTTCTTAGCTTTTAGCGTCCTTTCTCTGTTCCAGTTTGAATTTCCTAGATTTTTTTGTTTTGTAGAGCTGATTCTCTGGCAGTGCGCAATAAGAGAGGTGAACAGGAAGCTGAATGACACTAAAAAATTGTGACTGGTGCTGAAACATGCTGTTCATTTTGCCTGTGCATCTTGAACAGATGATGTGATGCAGATTTGAACAGATTTCAATCTGATACAGGTGTAGCCAACCAGGGTTCTCCTTGTGCAATCTGGAAAGCTTTTATATGTTTTTTATATGTTTTATCAGGCTAGAGAGTGCTTATAATAAGTAGGTCAAACACCGGGCATAGTTCAAAAAGTCTTTTTCTGTTCTTGTTGACTGCAGCCCACGCTTCTGCCTAGCTCTTCTCGTTTTCTTGGCTGCTCCATCCTACTTCAGTGTTAGTCACCCATCACAAGAGGTAAGCCATTTTTTAGTGCTCTGTCACATTGTGTACTCGTAGGAGTGGCATTTGCAGCTTCAGAGCAAATGGGTTGAATTATGTGAGAGATCCTTCTCTCCCTACAGGTTTTCTGTAGTAGTGGTCATAAGGAAAAATGTAAAGGGAGGCATATTTAAGAAAGAATTTTTTCTTTTGGTGCTTCTTCAGATGTTGGTTGAGGGTCTTCTTAAGCTAAAGTTGGCTTTTGGTATTTCGGTTCTTTGAATCCATTTAAAGTTTTGGTTGCTGCAACACCCCGTGACACAGTCCAGCTCTTATTTGGGGAGGAAGAATCACTTGTTTGTTGGATGCTGTTGTACTCCTAAAAAACGTGGGCCTCCTGAGCTGTAGCCTCCATCATATGACTTCTGTTTTTCTTGTGAAACTAGCTTTGCAGGCTTGGAGACCCCTGGTGGCCTAGTGGTTAGCGTGCAGGACTTTCACTGCTGCGACCACGGGTTCAAATCCCGGTCTCCTGGCCTGATGGAGGTCGTTAGCCCTGTGTGGCCATCCATCTATGAGAAGGACACTCTAAACAAACCTACGTCCTGAGGACCTCACTGCCATTGTCCAAGC